AAATTACTTTTATTAATATTAAAAGCTAATAAGCTATGACCCAAAGTTGTCGTACAGTTTTTAAAACATTACAAGCTGATAGAAGTTTTGATTACTTAAAGCAATAGAGACAAACAAATCTTCCGCTTTGTTTGATTTGATTAACAAAAAGAACGAGACAATTAGCGACGTCCTCCTCATTTCCCACGTCCTCGATTTCCACGTCCAACGGCATTGGATGATGATTGCATCTCCTTCGCTTTGATGGACGGTTTTACCGGTCTTTCACGAAGTAATCTCTGCCCGGAAAGAGTCATAAAATCAACCATATCAGATTCAGCATCCGAACTATTTCCGAAGATTCCAAAGCGAAGAACCGGTTCGAACCTCGAACATTCCCAATCGATGATCTATTAACCAATGTCGGGCTCACATTATGCTCATCTCTGTCCATAATGCAAGCTATGCACATATCTGGAGTAATGGTTGAGGCACCCAGCAATCTTTTTTTTTTTTTTGGGTAAAATGTTAAGGCACCAGCAATCTTCATTATTAATATATTGAAATGGGTCCTACAAATTAAAGTATTTACAATAGACCCATTTATGGAGATTCTAAACGCAGCTCAATAAGCAAAGCCCATCCATATTTAGTCCCAAAGTTAACTCATTCTTTAAGTATGTGGATAATGTATTCTTGAACATTCACTCGCCATAATATGAACAAACACTCGCTGAATCAAACTTGCCAAACAACCTCACTCAACAACGAAATGCGAAACCAAGAGACAGAGTAAAAAAACGAGGTTAAAAAGTTTGGATCGACTTATGTGATCAATCCTACGGTTACACGGAGAAGATGAAAAACAAAGTATTTATACTCAAACTGTAAGCAAACGGCAAGTTCTCTATACGGCTATACCTTAGAGAGTCTTATCGAGGGATATAGAGTCTTTATCCTTCCATTAACTCGAGCTAATTTCTCAAGTCATGGTTAATCAGCTCAAGCTAAACCCAATCGAGTGAGTTGGATCACTCACACATGCATACAATATGTTTAGGCATGAAGCTCGAAAAATTATCACTCGGATGGAATATTCGGGATTACTGCATTTCTACGAAAAGAAAAATAATTGACCTTGTTTAAAATATTATTTCGTTTCTTAGATTATGTGTCACGGAGCAAATAAGTTGATAGAATAATATATTTAATTAAAGAAATATGATTCCAAATAAAGAAAAGAGGTTGAATATAAATTTCAAGAGAATTGAATCAATCATATGAGGTCACTCGCTTCCTCCGAAGCAACAATCCCACTCATACTTGACATGAGCTGCCCAATTGCTTATTACTATGCCCTTGTAATTTATGAATCTTCTTCTATTTTTGAAAAAATATATATACTAAAAAATGTTGTCACCACTTCATTTCAATAGCATCTTATAAATTGGCATTATCAACCAATGACTTTTTTTGTAAAAAAAGGTTAATAAATCCTTGTCATTCCAAGTTCTCGAAACCGTTGAGAGATGCTTGATAATGAAAGAAAGAAAAAAATGGAAGACTTTTTGTCTGGTCATGAAGAAAAATTCGGTTTCACACTTAGACAGTCATCCCTAATTAATGTCCATTAACAAACAAGTAAACAAAATGTAGAAATATTTCATTTTGTATAGTTGTTTCCATCGAACCAACTATAATCAAAGTTCTCTCAGACATTATCTCCAACGAATTTAAGATACAGATTTGAATCGGCCTCAATTCGGCTCGACCATTCTGACTGTTTTGCCATTTATAACTAATGCATGTATATATTCGGGTTTAAACTCGAGTTATATAATACGGTGTCTGCATTAGTACAAACAATTAGTCTACTAGCTAGTAACATCATTAAATATGTTGATGTATATATACGCCGACGTTTTTGAATTTTTGGTTACCTTGTATAGTTGGATACTTGGATCAATATAATCGAGTTTAGTCTATACTCTATACATATAATACGTATTAATTGACAATAAAGAGAACAAAACAAAAGAAACATGAAGTTAATGATTGACTGTGAATAGCTAAATATAACGTGCATGTGATGCTGCAGGTAATGCAACATGGGAGAATCATATAAATGGACGAAATTTCCAACTTTATTATTACCTTTTTCTCAGATTGGTCACACAATTAATAATTAATTCTAATTAAACTATGAAGACTATGGATACAATATTATCATTGAGAATCCATAGATGTGGGACAGTTAAACTTCCACATGTAACCCCCTCGGGTCTTATAAAAGGTATATATACACATGTGCTAGTGTTTATATACGTTTTCATGGTTTAATTATCATAAAAACGAAGGTTACCTGAAACTGTCTAAACCATGATATGTGTTTTATACATGAAATACGCGTATATGGTGCTTAAAATACAAATAAAATGATGTCACATACATGAAGTACAATATTAGCTTTTATAACCGATTCATTGGCGTAGTAGTTGAAGATTCATCATGTAAATCGCATTTATGTTTTTTTATTTAGTTTGTGTTAACTATTAAATGACAATAGTATTATCCAACCACAAATGTCGATTGTCATACATGTTTGTTGCCTAGGCATGCAAATATTGGATCTGAGAGGATGGAAACTACATGATTTTATAACATTTTTTCCAAAATTAAATTATTATTCAATATCTACTATATCGTCTCTAGCAAAAATATTTTTCTTTTCTTTAGTATTTTTTAAAAGAGAAAATAACTAAAAAAAGTAACAGAAAACTACCAACGGGTAAAGTAAAAAAAACTACAAAGAAGATATTCTAGTAACGGCCGCAGAATATCGTATCCCTTATATCGCATTGACGAATTTACCCTTCCTATAATCTCGGTGAAACATCAGAATCCCTCTTTTATTACTTTTTTTTTGCTCAATCAGTAAAAAAAAAACAACCCAGAAATTACGCATCTAAATTCATATCGAAACTGAAGCAATTTCCATATAAATCTTCACAAGAATTTCAACCGATTCATAAAAACCGGCGAAAAAAACAGGAAATTTGC